TAAAAAAAAAAAAAAAAAAAAAAAACAACGCAACATCAAAACTAGATCCGTTGTTGTCTCATAGAAACGAAGTTTTTCTTTGTTTGGTTTCAAATGGTCTAGAAAACATTTTAATAACTCCGGAGATGAGCTGTGCCCATCCACATGTGTCTCCTGCCTGTCTCGGTGCCGCACGAGGCTCGTTAGGATGGCGGAGCCTTGCTTCCCAGTTTCTTCCTCCGTCAACTGGCATCTTCCCACACTTGGGGCTTTGGTTACAACATGCAACCCTCTAACATAAATCGGGTGCTTCTGCCAAACACCCTTCTAGCAACTTGATAGAACATTTGCAAACGGAAGCCTTACCGGTTAAGAATTATTTTTCTAAAAAATAATTCAGACGTTAGTGTCATATGATATTTCCTTTCATAAAGCAGTTTTATTGGAGTAGGTTTTGATGGCTGTTTAATAATGTAATATTTTTAGGAGAAAAACTAATGTGATGTTTCTCTTAGGCTAAAGTTTCAGGAAGTTAAGCTAAATTCGAAATTAAAGGACCCGAAAGGTAGTGTAGTATTTTATTCTTGACAAAGTCGCGGCGTCTTTAGCTTTTATGAGAAATGCATTTTTAACTGTTGTTTCTGTGTTTATACGTTTCTCCCACTGAGGTTTAGGCAAGTTTGTGTTATATCGTTTCCATCATTAAATTGTGAATCTTTAAAGCATAGATCATTATTTCTCTTTCTTTGTTATCCTCTCTTAGTTTCATGACCTAGCAATTATTTGTTCATTAAGTCAATAGTGACTGTTACCCATCATTTGGAATGTAAGTGATAAATACCGAGGATAAGTCTTATTTGTTTTATTTCAGATAACAGTTCCTCCGTGGTAGCCTTCTGTGGTCAAGGTCATTGGGGAACAGTTCAGAAATAAGTGAGAATCATACTTCCAATTTAAGGAAAACTTCTTCAGTTATTTGAGCTATAAATGGAGTGTTCTTTTCTGTAAGAACTGACTGAAGCAACTTGATTTTTGATTTTAGTTAAAGACATAAGAGGGATACTAGAGACACTAACGATATATGTCTGATGACCGACGTGACTATAAGTTAACAAAAGTTGCTTTAGAGACTTTTTCTCCCCCTCTCAAAAATGTGTGTGTTTGGTGAAGAATAGCGTTTCAGCTGTTGAAATGATGCTCTCAAGACCAGTGAAATGGTCTTAACCAGAGAAAGCGACTCTCAGAACAGTGTTGTCAAATCCAAATGAATTTTGTATGAAATTCACCTATTGCACCTATTTTAAAGATGGAACCATCATGCGTGGCAGATATAGAGACTGGACGTTTGAACTGTTCTTGGGAGTATGGAACCAAATAAGAAAATGGAGAACAAGGTATGGACATCTTAGGCTTTCTGTTTGTAAAACTTATTACCTGAATTCTCTAATCATATTTTGTTGCTTTAAACAAAAAAATTCTTATATTCCCTTTGTATAATGTTGTCACACCTCATTATCACTGTATTGCATATAAATCTGTCCATGTAAGTCATACCCAGAAACAGATTGTGGCTAAGCATTACCATTTCTCTCTCCAAAACACCGTCAGAGTCTGTGTAGGAAGTGTTCTATACGTGGATAAAAATGGGCAAGATCAGAAGGGCCAAGCATCGTTTTACAAAAATCAGAATAAAATTAACTTTCATGTTTTAGGAAATAACCAGTGAACTGTCTAATTCCAGCATTTTGAATTCTGAGCATGGCCACAGTGCTGTGTATAGTAGTAGTTGTCATTGCTGCTGGGTCTGGACTCTGTACGTTCTTTTTTCTGTGCAGTGTTGAGGTGTATGGCTAGAAAAAACAGACTTGGTCTTTAGAATAAATACTTCAAATTATATTTGTGACAGAATTAAAAGATAACACAATCTTTCTGTGAATGTTTGGAAGACCCTTCATATGATGATCACTTTAATGAGTACTTACCTTTTGACATACCTAATAATTAATCCTGGATTGTACCAAACCTCTTATCATACCCATCCACGAGGCAGAGCGGCAGCCCAGTGATGGGGTGTCTGACCCGTCCACGAGGCAGAGCGGCAGTCCAGTGATGGGGTGTCTGACCCGTCCACGAGGCAGAGCGGCAGTCCAGTGATGGGGTGTCTGACCCGTCCACGAGGCAGAGCGGCAGTCCAGTGATGGGGTGTCTGACCCGTCCACGAGTCAGAGTGGCAGCCCAGTGATGGGGTGTCTGACCCGTCCACGAGGCAGAGTGGCAGCCCAGTGATGGGGTGTCTGACCCGTCCACGAGGCAGAGCGGCAGCCCAGTGATGGGGTGTCAGCAGTTTCTGGTTCTCTAGCTCACGTTTGTCCACGTCATCTCCTGGCCTCATCCACTCCCTGCATCGTGTCCCAAACACAGGGCTTCTTTTCTTTCTCTCCTTCTTTCCTTTTCTAGATGGTACCTCTGACAACACTGCCCTAACTCTGATCATCAGACCTTTGGGATTTTGGAAGACTGGGAGTGGTAGGAGTGTTGTCGAGTTGCCCACAGTGCTCAGCACTGCACTGGTGATGGTAGGTGTTCAGATCCTCACTGAGCAAGCAAGTGAGCTCATGCAAATGAGGCTGACCACAACACCAGGACAAACAGCTATGAGACAAGGGACACAAGCAATGTGCACATGAAGAGAAACGAGGAAAACATGCAGACACTCGGATCTTAAAGACAAACGAAATTAGCAATATTAGCATTTGAAGCTTCTGCTAAAAAACTAGAGAGAAAAGGAAAACCCAATGTTGATGAGATTATTAACAACTAGTATCTGCAGAGGCTTTGCAGTTTACAGAGTTCTTTACATAATTTGATCATTATGTTAACCACATGGGGCATATTATTATCATCATCATTATTACCATATCTTCATTATTATTCTGCATTCTACAAATTATGGACTGAACTGAATTGTTTTAAAGATGCCCAGTTTCCATCTTCTTTTAGCCACTGGTCATTAAGAAAATTAATTAGCAGCATATATCATGAATCAGAAAGATAGGGCCAAGCCCGTGGCGCACTTGGGAGAGTGCGGTGCTAGGAGTGCAGCAGCGCTCCCGCCACGGGTTCGGATCCTATATAGGGATGACCTGTGCGCTCACAGTACTCACTGGCTGAGCGCGGTGCAGCCGGTCTCAAAAAGGACAAAAAAAAAAAAGATACATGTGCTGTTTGTCCCAGTAATAACTCTGCTGGGAACTAGTCCTAAGGAAAATCTGAAAGTAGAAGATGTTCTTTGCAGTGTTGTTTATAATAATGAAGAATTAGAAACAACCAAAACTATCCCAAAGTAGGAAAATGGCGGTATAAATTATCTACATGAAGTCAATAATATGTTACATAGCTAAAATTATTATGAAGATTATGTAATAATATGGGAAAATGTTTGGTAAGTCATATTAAAGAAGTATAATATAAAATGACACCATTTTGATGGCCCTAACTAAGAAAAACGTATGTGTATGTTCTATAGTTGATCTGTTAGACGAGATTTCGGTAGACTTAATTTATATTATTTATATGTCTGTATAAAACTTATTTGCAAAGTAAGTTTTAAGAAATTTATAACACAATAGGCTCCGCCCTTTTTTTGGCATCATAATTAGAATAGGGAAAAATCAGAATAAAATTAGCTATTTTCACATTTTAGGAGATAATCATAAACTGTCTAATTCCAGGATTTTAAATTCTGAACATGGTCACAGTGCTGTATTTAGTAGCAATTACATTTGGTATTGTGACTATTTCTGTACTCTGTGCATTCTTTTTTCTATGATAAACATAACATAGAAATATATAACCCCCCAAAAAATGTATAGTCATTTGAGAAACATGTTTGTACCTCAGTAGTAGAAGCGTTGAACCCTTTTACAAAACAAGCATCACAGGCAGCATAGTCCTGGGTGCTAATGTCTTTTAGAAAAGATACTGAATGTGCTTTTGCAAAAAATTCCTCTTAGCCTGAATTTCTGGTTGCCACAAGGAGGGCAGATTTCCAATGTAAATATTTACGATAGTGAGCCCTACTCACAGGCACTTAAATCATTTGTCTCTCACTTTTTATGGTAGTGTTGTGAATTACATTCTTTTTGGGTTTATAATTAGAGGATGGAACAGATGGCGAGGGCCTAGTTTGCAGTGATATGACCATTAGAATGGCCTTCATCGTCCGGTTGTGATTCCAGGGAACCTGTTTTTCTCATGCATGCTCAGTACAGAGTATGGGACAGCTGTGGGTTTGCAAGGTAGCCACACGCTCTGAGTTTTTGCAACATCTGAAGCTACATAGGAGTGAGACTGGACCTAAAATAGTCTCTGGATGTTTCTAAGGGTAAGGCTTCTGGAGGGGAAAGGTGAGGTCCTGTGAATCATATTTCTATAATTATGATTTTTTCTAAAGTTACACAATTCCACAATGGGAATAAA